TATATATATATAAATACAAATAAATATATATAAATATAAAAATATAGATTATACATATATGATATACTATTTATACATAGAGTGCAATCTTCAAACAATTTTTCATGCAATATTTGATTATCATAAACGTTGCTACATTGTTCAAATTTTAGACTGATTATTAAATAATATCAAACCACCATCATAATAATCCTTTTTTTTATAGGAGTTCGCAATTTGCCATTTTTGTAAGCGGCGAATATGTAAAGCAGAGTGTTCGAAAGTAAAATCACGATAGAGAAAACATCTCGAATCATACATTGAAGATCGACTTGTCCTTGAGAACATCTGGAAATATCCGACCTGATATATTATTACACGTTTCTTTCCTTTTATTTATTTATTGTACATATATTCTCTTTCCATCAGGTTTATTGACTCATAAATATTGCATATATTAATAGTGATACAGGATGAGCTATATCTTTACAATGTTATATGATGTACGTTATGCTTTCGCCGTACTTGCTACATGAGATCGTTTCACGAAATATATCGCTAATAGGTTCAAGTTTAATCGCCGGTAGTAAAAGCCAAATGTACCTTGTATACATTTGACTTAAGTGGGAAAAACCTGTTACGCTCTTTGGCGGCGGTTGTCATATTCGCTTAATTTGCCAAAACTTTAAGACTTGCTTCCAGAACGCGCTTTTTCGAATCGCAAACAGAGTGCAAAGTATCGAAAACGAACTATTTTTCGTACAACCCGAGTAAATACGAGTTAACAAATAAATATTATGGGCATGAAAGTCATTTTGGTTTTTTGGAATCGAGTTTTCGAGAAGATGGAAGTCGCTCAGTGCACCTCCGCCGATTTTCACGATCGAGTCTACATGCAGAAGATGCGGTAAAAGCAGATGAATATTATTGTGCTTAACAATAAAAATCAGTTCCACACACAAAACGCTGTATTTTTCTTTTCAGCGAGGTGAAATATATATAAAACAGGGAGCAAAGTTTGTTCTATATATAACAACGATATTGAATGTCATAAGGTTGATTTTTCCCTAAAATTACGTTGAAATAATAGGGTAAAAAACGAATTAGACGGTCACGATACACACGCACGTTCATAATATGTGTATATATATATATATATATATATATATCTTCACACCTACGCACGCGATATTGCTAGGAACATCAATAATGTGTTTTTGATAAAATTCAACCTTGTGACTCATAATGCGGACTAACCGACTAGATGGACTACCTGTTGTGCTTTGCATAATTTGCATAACTTTGTTAGACTTGTGTATCTCACTTCCGCCCCTAACAACTATTAATATCTATGCTTCTGCAACGCCGCGCACACGTCCGTATCTATATATATAAAATGTACGTGTCGTGTGTAAAAGCGATACATGCTTTCTTACAGAATTATTTTTTAACTGTTACTTCCTTTATTTTTATTTGTGATATTAAAATTAATAATGCCATTAATATTATATTTATTAATTTCCAATCTATCGCTACATAAGCTGTATAACGTAGTTACAGGATTCGATAAATCTGAGAATGCATCGTAATCTTTTGAAATTATTTATTTCAGTACGTATTTACATACATTTTTCAGTCTTTTTTTGTTATGAATTAAAACTTACAAATTAAAATAAATTTGACTATATTACAAAAGATTCCTTCTTACAAAATATTTTTAGCTTATTACATTATTCTTGATAATTAAAAATTTTAATAAGAAATTAACATTTCGATGAGTATTGAAATACAACTTATATGTATAATGTATATGCTAATGATTGATCTAGATTTAGATTTAATTATATTGTTGTGTCAAAAATCAAAAAGCTTTTTCAGAAATGCAAGTGAAAGAAATAATTGAAATACTTTAGTATTCTTTCTGAATATTACTACAAATTTCTTGCAATGCTTTTCGAGTAAAAAAATTTGCGATTTGAAAAAAGTTCTTTCTGATAGAAAAATAATTTAAATTGAAATACTAACATTAATTCTAAGATAAATTATTTAAAGATTCTACCGATAACATTTTTTGCAAAATTGTACAGACTAATCTCTACAAATTTTAAAAATTCATTAAAAATTCATGACATGACAAATTCAATGCGTGATCATTGAAATTGTGTCATCAGACTTAAAATTTTGTCATACAACAATTCCTTTACATCCTTAGCCCACATAAAATCCAAATGATTAAATTTTTCAAATGGTACTCGCAATTTTCCAATTGGGTTGCCAAGTTCCTCATACAATTTATCAACATCCTGCAAATGATAAAAGATATAAATATATTAAATTAAAATAATATTATTTAGCAATTTATTTAACTTAATCATCTGAAATATTTCTAAAATATTTATTCCATTCTAAAATATTTATTCCAAGAATATACGAAATTCATACGTATATGTATGAAAAAAATAAATATCCTAGCAAACATATTAGGCCATTTAAAATTGAATAAACTGATTAAAAAGGTACAAACCTTGACGTTTGCTAACCAATCGTTGGTACTGTAATGCAACGAAACTGGCACTTTGATTTTTCCTAAATCATAATTAGGAGGATTAATTGTGCCGTATTTTCTCAAATTGACGATCAATGTATAATCATACTGTCTAAATTTTCCCGCTGTAATGAGGAAACCTGAAAATAGATTTGTTATTGTTTAATTTTATAGAATTTTTATATTAATATTATTTTATATTATTATTTTAAAACTTTTAAAATTTTTGTAGAGAATTTGCATATGATAGACATCGTTCTTACAAAATACAGGAAATACAAGATATATTATAAAAAAAAGAAATGAAAATGCACTTACCAGAGTTTACGAGTTGCGCATAATGTATCACTTGCTTCACTGATGCTCCAGCCGGAGTATGTTCCAGAATTATTGGTAAAAGAGTCTGCAAAAGTTATAGCGTCATAAATGAATAAATCGGATGAAATTGAATTAATAATAAACTGATATTATACTGATTTACTGATTCAAACAACAAAATAAATGATTATGATTATAATAATATTACTAGCATAGAATGCTATAATAAACTGGCTTATTATTCGATAAATAATTATCCTATCTCGAATTTTGGAAAACAAAAATAAATAATATTAAAAATAACATACGTACGGTGTTCATTTGTTCTTGGTCGAACCCAGCGATTAAAAAGAGCACGTTTGAACATAGAGGTTGCGTGATAGCGTCTTCTGCGCATACTAATCTTTGAAATTTTTTTAATATTTCGGGAGTAGGTGTGAACTTATATTGACCAAGTAATTTGAACAATACCTACAATAAAATCATTTTGTAATCATCTATTAAAAAAAGATTATCATATTTATCGCGATTGGAATTACATACATCGAGTGGGCCAGCAAATTTGGCTAGGAATTGAAAAATGGGACTAAATATCCTGCCGCAATAAGCAACCGGCGCCATCGCAAACATCGCTTGGATCTTATCTTGATATTCTGGCCGTTCCGAAGCCATGACGAAGAATGTGGTGGTACCCTGACTATGACCCAGGTAAAATATTTTTTCACGACCAGTAGTATTTATAATGTAGTCAATCATTGCGGGAAGGTCGTACATGCCTATTTCGTGCCAGCTATAAGAAACGATTCCTATAAATTATTTGCCGATCTTGGGTCTAGAATAGATAGTCTAAATTAATAAGAATATTTATATGTAATTTTTCAAACACGCACGCACACTCTATATATTATATAGAGTGTTATAAAACGAGTGCAAAAGTTAGAGAAGCTTCAGAAATTTGTTTGCATCTATATTAAGATATAAATTTGTTCTTATATGCATAGTTATTTAATCTAAATTGACACTATTTTTTATATAAAAAAACATTACAAATGATCTAAAAAAGCTTAATAATTTATTTTTTTATATTTTATAAAATTCATATTACCCAAAGAGATCAAATGCTCGTCAAATAAAAAAATATGGGATTATATTATCAGAAAAATGATAAAAATATAATCGATAAATATTGGTAAAAAAAGATATTAGATATTTTTAACACGATTTATTGTCTGTTCACATATCTAAATATTCCATTGCACTAAAGATTCTTGACTTTTATATTATGTGTTGCTCTTGCATCTCTACAATATTATTGTCTCTACAATATTATTGTTATTGCTTACGAAATGTGAGATATTAATCTTGATATTATTTAATCATTATGTTTAAAGTATCTTCCATTATCTCATAATCTCATAATCAGAGAAAAGAATATGATTGATAAAGGAAGTATGATTGCATTTTTTCAAAAAAGATAATACACAGATTAATTTTATCTTTACGCTATATAAATGTCGTAATTGCTTATTTTGATATATATCTTATTTATCGTGTTGTATATTTTTTTATCGCGCTATATATATTTATTGATTAGAATTTATCATTACGTAGAGGAATCATTACGTTATAGGAAATATTAATTTTTTTGAGCTTATAAATAAATGATTGCAATTCCTTAAAACATAATGTTGCAAGAATACAATTTATGTAAAAACTGTGTGAATTAAAAATTATTGTGTGAATTTAAAATTATTGTCATCACAGCATTATTATATTTTAATAATTATATTTATATTTATTAGAAATAATAAATTTCAACCACCAGGTGCTTGTTGAAACTTTTATCCGACGGTGAATAAAGCAAGTATCACACACGTGCATTTAAAGATAAGATTAAAGATATTTGACATTTCTATATCGAATTCCTACAATCTTACATTCCGATTTAAACTTTATCTCCAAACACAATCGTACCGCTGCTAACACCTTAATAGTTTTGTCCCTTATTATTTACATAATAATAAAGGTTTGTCTTTCTTATTACTTATATACATATGTATTCTTACCTGAAGCTCCAGTAAAGTTCTTCTGGGAGATCTTTGAGCATGTGTTTGCGTGAATATGTATTGCCACGTACATTGCCGAGCCAAACATCATATCCCGCATCCGCCAGAATAAAAGCTGTAAAAATGTACAATTGAAGCTATAATTATTTTTAATATTTTTATTGAATACAAACGCCGGAATATACAGGCGAAGAAAGCAAAAACAATTAATAATAATTAAAAATAATTAACGTATATAATAATTCTTTTAAGCAGAATGAAAGTTTTTTTTTTTAGAAATAGTTTTCTTACCTAAACCTTTTTCCGGTCCTGATAGAACCCAACTTGCTGAACTGCAAAGGAGACCATGCATTATAAATGCCACGGGTTTTTGTACATTCGAATCGATAGCATTAGCTCGTCCTGTTATCCGATGTATTTCCAAGATGTAACCATCAGAAGTGATTACTTCATGTAGTTCTCCATTATAACCGTGGTTACGCACTAGTTCTAACTAAACATGAAATAAGATAAAAACTAAGTAAGTCACTAGAGATCGTCGTTAAAACGATTAAATAAATACGATTCAAAAAAATTCTTGATTCATCATATTTATACGTAACGAATAATATTTGTAACATATAAAAATATTTATTATAACTGTCTAATAAAATTAATAAAATCTAAGTAATTTTACGCACGAGGAAATAAAAAATGAATTTATAAAGAACTGGTTAGTGTACCGTTCCTCTCATAGAATTGACGGAGATGTAAAAATATTTATAATTAAGCATTAATGTTTATGTCCGGAAAAATATAAAATTATTTGAAAAATCACTTCCTTTTCAATTAATACAAATTATACTTGTATAATTTAAAAAAATTTTTTTCCGTTCGCGACAGTTACACTTACGGTGGTGGATGGTTCCGCTTGTGTGAATTCAAAAAAGTATGGATTCTCGAACTCTTTAATCGCCGGTATTAAATCTATCGACGTGATATCCAGTGACACATCCGTTAAGGAATATGGCATCGCGCTGGCAGATGCCAGGATTGAAATTAGAGGAATTAGCAACATTATTGTGTGTAAACTGATCAACTCGAACTGTATTATGCGCGATTTTCTTTCCGAATGTGAGCGTATATATATATAGAGAGAGAGAGAGAGAGCTGCTTATTTACTAAAAATACCACCAGAGTGTTTGCTATTTTATGCGATCTTATCAAATGCTATTTATCGTAATCGATCTGTCATAATTTCTGATTTGATAATAAATATATCGATATATTGGACATCGTGATTTCAGATGTCAAAAAAAGCTTTCGATTTTAAGGTGAATTTTAAGGTGAATCGATTGTTTATCTATGAAATAATATATTTCACAATTTTTTGCGCATAAGTGCGTATCTATACGCAACATCTATATGCAACATTGCATATCTGTTTACACAATCTTTATTAGATTCTTAAAGAAGGAAAGAACTTGGTAATAATCATTCTTGATAAAATGCAAGTAGATAAGGAATCTTTTGTAATCCTTGATTTAAAGATTTTTCATTTTAGAGATTTTTGATTTCGTCAATCATTTTCTTTTATATACTACTAATTGATTTATTCTACTTTATTTATTTCAATTTAAAACTCCCATTTAATTTTTTAATTTAATTGATATCTCAACATTGCAAGATATTAATTTTAATTCATTTATTATAATCTTGTTTATTGATTTTATTATAAATAATTTATTTTATAGAACATAATTTTTATAAATTAAAGAAAGTTATTTATTATATTTATATATGTAAGAGTAAAATAATGATCCAAGGAAAAAACGAATACTAGAATAAAAATACTATGCGAGAAAAAAAATAAAGAAATAATATAAGAAAATGGGATTTTATAGGAGTGAATGCAAAATGCAAAATGCAAGATATATACATTAGATTTTAAATAGATAAAATATTTTACGATGTGGCAAACACATTAGTAAGAGGTTGATAAACGGTATTAATATCGGATTATATATATCAAACGTAAATGTCATTATCTTAAAATTTTATCACTGAGGAAGACATGTCAAGTCTTGTCAAATTTTATGGATTAATTATCGCAAGAATTTGAAAAAATGGATACTTTATTTCGTCTTCGAAAAGTTCTTCATTGAAATTATTATTTCATTGTACACAAGCTTCCTCACATCCTTAGCCCACATGTAGTCGATATGATTAAACTTTTCATTTGCTACTAGAGTTTTACCGAAGGGATTGCCCAGCTCACTGTACAATTTTTCCACATCCTATATGAAATATAAATATTAGAATTTATCTATTTGAAATGTCAACGATAACAACGTGAACGGTATGTCAATCACGAGATAAACGAACATATCTAAAGAAATACAAACCTTGACATTCGCTAACCAATCGTTTTTACTATAATGTAAATGAACTGGCACTTTGATTTTGCTTAAATCGTAATTCGGTGGATTAAGCGTATCGTACATGCCTTTATTGCTCAATATTCCATGATCGTATTGTTTAAATTTTCCCGATAAAAATAACATTCCTGATGACAGATTTAGTTATAAATAAGCCTTGTAAGAAATATTTAAGGAATTTTAATATAAAGGATTTTATTATCCTCACCAGATTTGATGAGTTGTGCGTAATGAATAATTTGCTTCGTGGCTGTACTTGCAGGAACATGTCCTAAAATTACTGGTAAAAGACTCTGTAAAAGATGGTAGTAATATATATATATATATATTTGCTATATTATTATATTAGCTAATATAATAATATTGCAAATAAATATTTAAATAAAATTAATAATTTTTAATTGATGTCTAAAATTGATATTGTGAAATTATCACATAACATCTTATTTAATAATATTGTGAGATAGTATTGTGATGGAGTAGATATAATAAGAAAAAAATCTGTGCGTGCGTGCGTGTGTGT